CAAGTTTATTTCATAACTCAAACTGTGCTATTAAAAGGAAAACTTATAATGTTAAAAATTAGAGACAGAAAAATATTACAAAAGAAACCTAAAGTAATACAGTAAATGAGCAGTGTTTCTATCAGCTGTTGTTTGATAAATAGCATTTGCTATACTACCCACTTCTCGGAAGGAAGGTTGGGCATTCCTACTTCTGTAGTGATACTGCCTTGGAAACCCAAAGAGGTGTTGCTATGAGTCGGGTCCGACTCGACGGCACATAACAACAACAACATACTAAAGAGGACAAGAAAAGTCTTAATTTTTATAATTTATCTTTAGCATAATAATATCTTTTTCACATCTCCAAAATTCTAAGTACAAATATTCTTTTACTTTTTCTTGGATTGTTATTGTTAGTTGCTGTCAAGTTGATTTTGACTCATGGTAACCCCAACTGCACAGAGTGGAACTGCTTCATAGGATTTTCAAGGCTGTGACCATTTGGAAGCAGAATGATAAGTGGGTTCAAACTGCCAATCTTTGGGCTAGTAGTTGAATGCTTCACTGTATGCACCACCCTGGGAGTCCTACTTTGTACTGTTGTTGTTGTTGTTATATGCCATTGAGTCAGACCAGACTCATAGTGACCCCTCCTTGGGCTTCCAAGGTGGTATCACTACAGAAGTAGATTTCCCAACCTTCCTTCTGAGGAGTGGCTGGTGGGTTTGAACTGTCAGCCTTGTGGTTAGCAGTCAAGTGCCTTAGGCACTATTCTACCAGAGCTCCTTACTTAAAAGGCATTATACAATAATTTATATTCATTGCAGCAAATATTTAGTTTCCTGAAGTCTGACACCCATTTGTGTGACTGAAAACATCATATTTAATAAATTAGAATGAATATACATGTATATGTTTGTATATCAATTATACAGAAAGCTTTAGTGTCAATCTTTCTAAAATTTATAATCAAAATTATATAACTATTAGTTAAACTAGGGTTTACTGTAATGTGTCTTTGCAAAACTGCATTTTATATAACTTTGTTAGTATTACACACACACACACACACTGGATCCATGGTCAAATATATTTGGAAAACACTATACACTGTATGTCCTTCTGGGACATCATAAAACATTATGTTAAAGGATCTGAGAGGTTCTGTGGTACATACAGTGGTTTAACATAGAACTCTGTTTCACAGCCCTCTTTGAAACATTCAGGGGAAATAGTTTTTCTTAGATATTAGTTTGTTAAAACAAAACAAAACAAAAAAAAGAGCTGTCACCGAGTTGATTTTAACTTATGGCAACACCACGTTCTTAAAAGACTTGATGCAGTGGGGTTGATATTTTGTTTATTTATTTATTTATAGTGATATTTCAAATGCCATGCCTTTCTTCTGAGGCTCCTCTGAGTGGCTTTGAACTGAAAACCTTTCAAGTAGGTGAAGAATGTGATATACAATTTAGAATATATAATGGAGAATTATCATTTACTCTGTACTTTTTCATAATCAATAGAAGATGCAGAAACACATTCTTTAAGGTCTTAGAATTCAGGAAACATTGTGATAAGTCTGAAGGTCATTTAATTGCACTTTAGAAAACAATCTTTTAGCTGTACTTTTTGCTTTCCTTTTTATTTACTGTAAAATTGTACAGCAATCAAAATCAAATCTTCTTTGAAGAAGAATCTTTCTTTCTTCCTATGCTGTCTGAGCAATAGCAGCTTCACCTTGGACTTGATATTCTGAAAGGCATATACTCAATTTTTCATCTTTTGATCCTTCATTATTTTGAGGCATTTGAAATTACTAACAATATCCAAAGGCTCAAAAAAAGTACTAGCTAGAATGACAGTAAAATTCAAAGGTACTTGTCTTTGTATTTTTCTCTGAATCTTCAAAAATACATCTTTCTATATTCAGATATCAGAGCTCTGGTGGTATAGTGCCTAAGGCATTTGACTGCTAACCAGAAAGCTGGCAGTTCAAATGCACCAGCCACTCCTCAGAAGGAAGACTGGCAATCTACCTCCATAGTGATACTGCCTAGGAAACTCAAGGAAGGGTTGCTATGAGTCAGATCCCACTTGATGGCAGTGAATTTTTTTTTTTTTTTTTTTTTTATGTTCAGTTACAGGTTCTGGGAACTCCCTATTGATAAACTCCAAAACCAAACTCATTGTCATTGTGTTGGATCAGACTCATAGTGACCCTTCTTTGGGTTTCTGAGGCAGTATCACTATGGAAGTAGATTGCCCCATTTTTGTTCCAAGGAGTGGCTGGTGGATTTGAACCAACAGCCTTCTAGTTAGCAGTCAAATGCCTTAGGCACTATGCTACCAGAGCTCCCTCCCTATTAATAGTGAATCATAATTGTTGCTAGAGTATGTATGACTTAATTTAGTTCTAAACATTCTGAAGAATGGGATACAAATACAAGATGTGATATTATTGTGCATAATGGGTGTATTATAGTTAAATATGCCAAAGTTTATTCACATACCAAATGACTATTGCCTACAAAGTAGTCAAAAGACTATTCTAATTCCAGTGGTGCTATCATAAATAATGTTATTGGCATTTGATCAGAATTGCTTTTAAAACAGTTTCCCAGATATATATAAAATTCAGTCAACTATTTTTAGTCAAGGTCATTCTTTTAACTCCCTTTTCCCTTTCCTTTGTGCTTCTGTTAGATCTGCTCCTTTCCATTGTCCTTGATTCTTTATACCTTGTCCAATAGCTCACATGTCTCCTGAGAGGGACTGTCTTGGTATCAGATAGATGTAATGATCCTGGGGAGGACTTTACTGGGCTGATGTGAGCATCAAACCAGAGGCTGGAATCCAGATCTGATGGGTCCCTGTAATCAACTCCATAAGAGCTAGAAAACCAGAAACATTCCTCCCTCACTGCCATTACCTTTTGATTCAGCTGATTCATCATAAAAAAATCATCTGTTGAACCCCTAACTAGGCACACTTCCAGGAACTGTAAGGAAAACAGAAAAGTATATAAGCTGATTTTAGAGCAGAGATCCTGATCTTCTTGGCTGCATATCAGAATTACCTAGTGTAACATTAAAACACAAAACAAATAAACAAATACATTTCCTAACAGTAGAATTAGAATATTTTGATTAAGTAGGTGTCATGTGGTGTGAGGCCTAGAGATCTTTATTTTTAAAAGCCCTGTAAGTGATTAAGATGTGCATCTTGGGTGATAATCATTGAATTAGACCAAAGTAGAAATGTTAGAGGATGTAAAGGATCTTAAATGAAGTATATTAGGAGGCTCATTTGTATAAGCTCTGCTGATGCTAAGTGCCATAGCAATAATAGCTAGAAAGTATCATATACAGAACCATGGAGTAATAGAACTGGAAAGTATTATGCCCTAATTTTTTTTATTATTTCACTGGATCATTTTTGAATCACTGGATTTAAACAACGTTTTTCCTTTTTATTGTACTGAATAATGTACATATCCATCTCAATTTATTTGTATAGAATTCTCCTGGCTGTTTTCATCAAGTATGGTATGATAACCCTCAGAGTATTTCTTTAAAACTAGTGTATACCCTCCAGCATGGCTTATGGGCTATAGGCATGTGGAATGCAAAACTGTCCACAAAAAACTCTGGAGATGCTGTAGCTAAACAGCAAACTAAGAAATGAGGAAAGCCTTAAAACCAAAGAGGAGATGAGCATCTTTTGAAGAAATAAATATAACATCAACATATGTATACATTTTTGTCATGTTGCTATATGCTTTTGTTATTAGTATACTCAAAAACCAAATAAAGAATAAGGAAATTCTGTAATGTTTAGATTTGAAAAATACATATATAATAATTATTTTTAGTGCTCCAGAAACAAAAGAGTAAAAAACAAGTCAATTTCCTTTATTAAATCTTCCTTTATGAGATGTTTTAACATTATAATTTAATTTGGAACAATTGCCTTCAGAATTTTATTATGCTATATTTTTTTCCTATGATATTAAAATATATGCTAACAAATCAATGTTAATTGTTAAAACATGTATAATTTGAACTGGTAATTATTTCTTAGAATAGTTGTGTAATGTGTTTTTGCCAAGAGAATTCCACTTTTATTATTTTGCTTCTCTTGATTAAATCAGGAGTAGAGGTTTTCCTCCTTGTGAAGGGATGGATGAACTTTATGCTATGCTTATTGTTGGGCATCTCTTAAATTGTTTAGTCATTTGATTGTAAAAATTGATTTTTTTTTAACTTACAATAGAGTTTTTAAAACCTAATCACTGAGAAGTTTGCTCTGCACATTCTTTTCAATATATCTTAAATTTAAAGTCTACAATTTAGATATCTCCTCTTTAGGGTTATCAAACTGGTAACAATCATTTTTCAGCTTCCTAGCTCCATACAGCACTCATATTTTTTAAGACACCTGAACTAAACTCACTTAAACTTCCAGTGAGTGGGGAACAAAAAGATAATATGAGGAATGAAAAGTGCTCACAAAATATAAGATAACTTAGTAATATACCTGTTGTTGTTGTTGTTATGTGCCGTCTAATCAGACCCGACTCACAGCGACCCCTCCTTGGGTTTCCGAGGCAGTATCACTGCAGAAGTAGATTGCCCCATCTTTCTTCTGAGGAGCGGCTGGTGGGTTTGAACCGCCAGCATTCTGTTTAGCAGTCAAGTGCCTTAGGCACTCCGCTACCAGAGCTCCTAGTAATATACCTACTCCTCACTTATTGACTATCTTGTTACTGACAATGTGCATTTGTTATTGATGTTATGTGCCCTTGAGTCAGACCCAACTCATAGAGACCCCTCCTTGGGTTTCCCAGGCGGCATCACTAAGGAAGTAGATTGCCCAACTTTCCTTCCGAGGAGTGGCTGGTGGGTTTGAACCACCAGCCTTCTGGTTAGCAGTCAAGTGCCTTAGGCACTACGCTACCGGAGCTCCCAATGTGCATTTAGATAATAGTGAAAAAATCTATCCCATTATTTTGCGTGTTAATGAAGCAGCGGGCATGGTGTGAACTGCTGCAGAATGTCTGCTCCCTCGAAGAGGGTTTCTGGGAGGCTTCCAGGAAGCTGCGTGGCCATGTTCAGTTGCCCAGCAGGGCTAGCCTCCTCCAGTGCCAGGCCTCCTGGTGACACATAAGTAGAACCTATTGAGTTCTGGGTTCCCAGCTCCTGTCTGGCTTGAGGCCCTGCAGCTCAAAATTGCTGTGGGACAGGAAGGGAGGAAAGAAAGAGGCATTGGAGAGGGTGTTTGGAAGTAATGAGCAGGAATTTAAAGACATCCCAAAGTGAGCCGAGCTGGGCCTGAAGCCTCCGCCTCTGTGAAGCGGGTAAGCAGGCAGGCTCTCAGCATGCTTACGGGAAGGAAGTCCCAAACCTCAGTGCCTTACCAGGTTCGGAGGGCAGAGCAGGCTCCAGGATCTCGAAGGCAGGATTTGCAGAGGTAGGAGGGGAGCCCTGAAGGCAACTCCTCTTCGAGAGAAGTTCTGATCCAGCTAGGGTGGAAGATGAAGTGGCTAGGCTGTGGTTCCACCAGTCACACAGCCTGGCTTTATCCATCTTTGTGTCCTGCTTCTCTAAAGAGGAATAATCCGTAACTGCACTTCTCACCATGATGAGCACATCAGTAAATCTCACTGCCATCAAGTCCATTCCGACTCATAGCGACCCCCATTGGGTTTCCAAGGAAGTAAATCTTTGTGGAAGATTGCTCAGTCTTTCTTCTTGTAGTGGCTGGTGTGTTCCAGCTGGTGACCTTCTGGTTAGCAGCCAAATGCCTTAACCACTACACCACCAAAGCTATTTTTTCTATAATCACATTTTTTAAATAAAAAAAGTCAGACAAATCGATGGCCTGAAAAGAGGGGGGAAAAAATCTCCCTTTTCACATAAAGCTTATTTTAGCACAATGATCTGGTCTTTGGAACCTAACCCTACAGATAAGTGAGAAATAGCTATATTTTGAATTAGTAGGTAAGAAATATACAATATTTTCCAATTGTATTTTTATGAAGTGTTATAGAAATTTTACAATAGGAATAACTTGGTGTGGAGCCTAATTCTATGCATTGTTATTTTCCATTCCTATTATTCATACAGAGAGCTCTGATGGCATACTGCCTAAGGCATTTGGCTGGTAACCAGAAGGCTGGTGGTTCAAATCCACCAGCCACTCCTTGGAAGGAAGATTGGGCAATCTACTTTGTAGTGATACTGCCTTGGAAACCCAAGGAAAGGGTGCTGTGAGTTGGATCTGACTCAACAGCAGGGAGTCTGGCTTTTTTATTTATTTATTTTTGGTTTATTATGAGAATATTATATTTCCTATTCACACAATTGTTTATGTAAAAGCAACCATTTTTCACAGTAAATGCTGAGTCATTTTTGTCTGTGTATTTCTAAAACATATTTTAAATATTAAGTTCCTAGATATTAATACCTGGATACTTTAAATAGCAAGTTTAATATCCCTGTTCTTTTATATTTCCAGATTGATTTCAGTTAAAATACAATGAGCAAATTTAGCATTTACATGCAAAAATTTATTAAAATATGATTGTGTAAATTTTTTATTATAATTAGATTTTAAGGGCATATCAGGTATTAATTTTAAAGTGAAAAATAATTATAACATATTGTGCTATAAAATAATATGTAATAGACTTGAACTCTTCAAAAATAAATAGCCATTATTTTCCTTTGTTACATGTAATATTTCACAAAAACCTTTGTACTACCCACATGAAAAATAAAATATAAACATTAAAATTCATAGAAAACACTGTGAAAGAGAAAAAAGGTTAAACATGTCTGTTCAAATATTTAAAATCTTTAACAAACATCTAAATTGGCATACCTATTTGACATTGTAAAGATGTATTAATTTTTTTCTGTGCCAGTTCAGCTTTCAATATACGTAAATCTGAAACTACTTGTTTTCTCATCTATAAAGAGAATTAAAAAATGAGCCTCAAATTACCATTCTTCAAGTGCACCATAATTTTTCACATAGTTTTTTTTTTTTTTAAATACTCTCTTTAACCTTCAGGATCTTTACTTCCATTGGTTATTATAGTAAATGCATAGATCAGAATCCCATTAAAGTTATTTAATGCTAGATAAGCTGTCAGATAATTTCAGTTATTAGCATATTAAAACAAACGTACGAACTCAAAACTCAATTCTGGCTCATTGACCCTATTGGATAAAGTAGAACTGCCAATAGAGTCTCCTTGGCTGTAAATATTTACAGAAGTAGACTGCCACACCTTTCTCCCAAGGATTATCAGGTGAGTTCGAACTGCTGACTTTTTGGTTAGCAGCCAAGCACTTAATCAATGTACCACCAGGGCTCCTTTATTAGTGTGTATACACACACACATACTACACCGAACTCACTGCTATTGAGTCAATTCTGACTCATAGCAACCCCTATATGGGAGCTCTGGTAGCGTAGTGCCTAAGGCACTCGACTGCTAACCAGAAGGCTGGCGGTTCAAACCCACCAGCCACTCCTCGGAAGGAAGATGGAGCAATCTACTTCCGTAGTGATACTGTCTCAGAAACCCAAGGAGGGGTTGCTATGAGTCGGGTCCGATTCGACGGCATATAACAACAACAACATATAGAAATAATAAAATTAAAATGTTCTAAAAACTTGAGTGAGAAAGAATTTTCTCACTGAGTAAAGAAAATAGTACAAATAGTAATAAGTTTCCAGCTCTTAGGAAGTGAATACGTATTTAGAGAATATAGTAGTGTTTGGTCCGCTGCAAGGACTCTTCTAAGTGTATTAACCACTTTGATGGAGTCTCCCACAAACTTTACTGAGACAGATAGTATTATTTCCCTCATTTTATAGCAGAGGAAACTGAGACCCATAGAGGTTAAGTAACTTGCCTAAGATATAGAACTGGTAAGTAGCACAGCCAGGACTCAGACTCAAGCCATCTACTACCATACCCCTTGGTATTCAAAGTATTGTCTGGAGACCAGCAGCATTAGCACCAACTGGGAACTTGTTAGGAATGAAGAATCTCAGGCTTCTCCCAAGATCTGAGTCAGATCCTGCATTTTAACAGGATTCTTGAGTGATAATCACATTAAAGTTTGACAATCTTTGCCCATGATATACTATTGAATAAATATGGTCGGAAAAGACTCAGGCTAAGTTTTCTGATCTTTTGTTCTGAATCCTTCAGATAGGGCTGTGTTCTGGAGTTAACTCAGAATTTAATAAATACTTATTACGATACCTACTATGTGCCAACCAAGCACTATGGTTAAAGGTAGCTACCGCTCCCAAGTTTCAAAGCTGAAAACTTGGGTTTTGTTTTTCCTCTCCTTATTTGATTTGTCTTTACTGTTTCTGTACTAATCATTCTAATTTGGGTTCCAAGCATTCCTAGGTTATATTTATAAGGTTAAAAAATATAAGTATGGTAAAATCTAATATCCAACTTTTCCAGAAAAGAGCATTAGAGAGTCATAAATGAAGCATTTTCATTACTTCTTTCAACCATCCAGTTATCCTTAAGCTTAAAAAATATCTCTTTTCCACATTGGCATTCTCTCCATTTCTTCAATACATACTGAGCTTTCACTCACTGAACAAATGATTTTTTAGTTCATACCATATAAAAATATTAAAACTCAGTTATTAAAAATTGTTCTTTGCCATTTACATTTCTGTATTTTAAGTTTTAAGTGTCTCGTTGCTAAGTCAAGGGGTTTATCTTCAAGTATGCTGCTAGTCAAAAGAATGTAGGATGCATGCCCACTCTGGCAGCCAGTTGTCACATGTAGCTATTTAGAGTCAAATAATGTAGAATGAACTAAAATATAAAACTCAGTTCTTCAGTTTTGCAAGCTGTATTTCAAGTGCCCAATATCTTATATGGCTATTGGCATAATTTTGGACAGTTTAGGGATAGAACATTTACACGATCACACAGAGTTCTACTGGGTAGTACTGATTCTAGTGAGTCATTATTCTGTGTCATTAAGCTACTTCTGCTAAAGATGTGTGTTGAAAGCATTCATATCATTATCCACCTTACTCTCCTGTACTATGTGGATAGGTGCATGATAACATATATCCTCCTGTGTTTTCTATTCAACAAAAGGGTCCTTTATGAAATCTATATAACACATCAGTGATTATTCCTATGATGTAATAATTATACACAATTCATATCAAATAAGTAAAGTCTGTCCAGTATCCTCAACTAAACTCTACTATACAAAAGGTCTTAAGGAGAAATAAAGTTAACTAAGGCACAATCTCTGCCCTGAGGGAAATTCAATATTTAGGAGAAGATCCATGATTCCTATTAAATAATATATTTTAAAAATATATAAAAATAACCAGAGAGAATGTAATAATTATCCAAGAGGGGGGAAAAAATTTAAATGAGATTTCAGAGGAGAGGTCAGTGATTGGTTAGCCTGGTTTATGAATGTTTCTAATATAGAATAAGTACTTCTTTTTAAATAGTTTATTGTGACTCTGATTCACAGGTCCTTTAATCCTTCTTAGTGAAATTTCACTTTGGCCTTGTTATATAATGCAGCTCCTCACAGAATTGAATTACTATTCTTGCATTTTTTTACTCATGTCCTTTGCCACTAAGGTAACAATTTTAAGACAATCAATCCTGACTACCTGTATACTATGGACATCCAAAGTGAAAACACCAATATGTTTTATTTAAAGATCAATTTTATAACCTGATTGTGAGAAATTAAATTACCTTAACTTCAATTATAAGCTTCATTTTGTCAGTATCTAATTTTCTCTTAAGTTGGTCAATTGCATGCTGTACTTCAGTGATCTGGATTATAAGGTAATTCTGTGTGAGATATATAAAGACACACCTTTATTCGGTGTAAAAACGATACAGTTTTATTTTTAACTGATTTGCAAATGTAAAGTAGAAAGTGATAAAAATATCAAAAGAACAAACCATGAAAATAATCTATTCTATAAAATAAACTTACTGCTTTGGAGTAAATTACTATTTGTCTGTTAATTTCTTGAATTTAATGGACTTCTTTTTCTTCTGTTCTATCACTCCTCATTTATTATGAAAATAAATAGGTATTTGTAAAAGTTATCTAATTAGCATCAGAAACACCAACAATTATAATTACAAAAGGAATATATGTTTAAAGTATTAACAAGACTTTAGAAACTGGCATAATGCTTCATTAACTGGGATTAGGACAATATTAAAATATTTAATAACAATATATTTTATATAACCTACTTAACACACACACACACAAATGTATTTAATGGAAGAAACATTTTTAGCTACTTTTGTCCAGAAAAGTTGATGAGGTATAATGGTTTTCACTGAATCAGTTAATTAAGAATTTTAAATTGCCTTTGTGAAAATAATTATCTCATATTCGACTTGATATAACAGTCAAATAAGTAAAAAGAAAAATGTACCATAATTTGGCTGCCACTCATCTGTCAGTTTGTTGTACTGTGGTGATATGCATCTAGCTGTGAGGCTGGAGGCTATGCCAACGATATTTCAGATACCAGCAGGGTCACCCATGGTAGACAGGTTTCATTGGAGCTTCCAGACTAAGATACACTAGGAAGAAGGATGTGACCATCCACTTCTGAAAAAAGTGGCCACTGAAAACCTTATCAATAGCTGTGAAATACTGTCTGAAAACTTTATGAATAGCCATGAAACATCGTCTTACATAGTGCCTGAAGATGAGCCCCTCAGGTTGTAAGGCACACAAAATACAACTGGGGAAGAGCTGCCTCCCCAAAGCTGAGTTGACCTTAAGGACATGGATGGAGTAAAGCTTTCAGAACCTTCATTTGCTGATGGGGCACGATTTGAAATGTGAAGAAAAAGCTGCAAACATTCATTAATAATCAGAATATAGAATGTGCAAAGTATGAATCTAGGAAAATTGGAAGTTATCAAAAACGAACTAGAATGGATAAAGATTGATATCCTAAGCATTAGTGACCTGAAATGAACTAGTATTGGTTCTTTTGAAACAGACAATCATATGATCTACTATACTGGGAATGACAAATTGAAGAGGAATGGCATGGCACTCCTTGTCACAAAGAACATCTCAAGATCTATTCTGAAGTACAGTGCTGTCAGTGATAGGATAATATCCATATGCCTATAAGGAGCTCTGGTAGCGTAGTGCCTAAGGAACTTGACTGCTAACCAGAAGGCTGGCGGTTCATACCCACCAGCCACTCCTCGGAAGGAAGGTTGGGCAATCTACTTCCGTAGTGATACCACCTCGGAAACCCAAGGAGGGGTCGCTATGAGTCAGGTCTGACTCGATGGCACATAACAACAACAACAACAACATAAGGAATACTAGCTAATATGAATATTATTCAAATTTACACACCAACCACTAAAGCCAAAGATGAAGAAATTGAAGATATTTTATCAACTTCTACAGTCTGAAATTCACCAAACATGCAGTCAAGATGTATTGATAAGTATTGGTGACTTGAATGAGAAAGTTGGAAATAAAGACGAATCATTGGTAGTTGGAAAACATGGCTTTGTTGATAGAAATGATGCTGAACACTGCATAATAGAATTTTGCAAGATGAGCAACTTATTCACCACAAATACTTTTTTCAACAAGATAAATGGTGGCTATAGATGTAGACCTTGCCAGATGGAATACACAGAAATCAGATGACTACATCTGTGGAAAGAAGTGATGGAGAAGCTCAATATCATCATCAGTCAAAAAAAGGCCAGGAGGTAACTGTGGAACAGACCATCAATTGCTCATATGTAAGTTCAAGTTGAAGCTGAACAAATAAATCCACCACCAAAAATATGACCTTGATTATATCCGACATGAATTTAAAGACCATCTGAAGAATAGATTTGACTCACTGAACACCACTGACCAAAGACCAAATGAGTTGTGGGATGACATCAAGAATATTATACATAAAGAAAGCAAACAATCATTAAAATGATAGGAAAGGAAGAAAAGACCAAAATGGATGTCAGAATAGACTCTGAAACTTGCTCCTAAATGTACAGTAACTACAGTGAATGGAAGAACTGATGAAATAAAAGAGTTGGATAGAAGATTTCAAAGGGCAGCTTGAGAAGACAGTATTATAAAGAAATGTGCAAAGATCTAGAGTTAAAAAACCAAAAGGGAATAATATGCTCGGCATTTCTCAAGCTGAAAGAACTGAAGAAAAAATCCAGGCCTCCAGCTGCAATACTGAAGGATTCTATGGGCAAAATACTGAATGATGCATGAAGCATCAAAAGAAGAGGGAAGGAATACAGAGTAACTGTATCAAAAAGATTTGGTCAATGTCCAACTATTTCGGGAGGTTTTATGTGATGAAGAACCAGTGGTATGGAAGGAAGAAGTCCAAACTGCACTGAATGAATTAGAGAAAAATAAGGCTCCAGGAAGGGATGGAATACTCACTGAGATGGTTCAACAAACGGATGCAGCACTGGAGGCATGCACTCACTTATGCCAAGACATTTGGAAGACAGCTACCTGGCCAACTGACTGGAAGAGACTGATATCTGCGAATTCCAAAGAAAGTTGATCCAACAGAATGTGGAAATTATTGAGCAATATCATTAATATCATACGCAAGTAAAATCTGGCTGCAGATAATTTAAAAATGGTTGTAGCAGTACATTGACAAAGAACTTCCAGAAATGCTAGCTGGATTCAGAAGAGGACATGGAATGAGAGATATCATTGCTAATGTCAGATGGATCTTAGCTGAAAGCAAAGAATACCAAAATGATGTCTACCTATGCTTTATTGAGTACAGAAAGGCATTTGACTGTGTGGATCATAACAAATTATGGATAACACTGCAAAAATGGGAATTCCAGAGCACTTAATCTTTCTCATGAGGAACCTGTCCATAGACCAAGAGGCTGTCATTCGAACAGAACAAGGGGATACTGAATGGTTTAAAATCAGGAAGGGTGTGTGTCAGGGTTTTATCCTGTCACCATACTTATTCAATGTGTATGCTGAGCAAATAAATTGAGAAGCTGGACTATATGAAGAAGAACATGGCATCAAGGTTGGAGGAAGAACAATCAACAACCTGTGATATGCAGTTGAAACAACCTTGCTTGCTCAAAGTGAAGGTTATTTGAAACACTTACTGTTGAAGATCAAAGACTACAGTCTTCAGTATGGATTACACATCAACATTAAAAAAAAAAAA